AATGCCATGTTTGGTCCTTTGTTTTCCACTTTTGGGTGCTGCTCTCTTTCTGCCTTTAGTTCTGTCTTCAGTAACTGAAAGTCAGGTGACTGATTTGGCCATTGAAGAACATCACAGTTTTTCCTTGATAAACTCTTGGGTTGTTATGCAGCATGCTTTAGGTCATTATCCCTTTAGACTGTGAAGCACTTTTTAAATCAGCTTTTCAGCTGAATATGAGCAAAGAGCTGAAAACTTCAGAATTCATCCCATCACTTTCACTGGTATTGGCAGTCATACATGCCGAGGCCATCACATTGCTTCCACCATGTTTGAAATAATGTGAATTCAGACCATGAGCAGTTTGTCCCCTCCACACTTTTCTCTTCTCATCATTCTGGTACAAGTTAATCTATTAGTCAGTGGTTTGCACATTGTTGTAAAATCTGTATATCCATTCAGGAAAGCATCTCTTGACTGTAGATTTTGACAACAGTGTCAACAGTGTTAGATTTGTTTTTTTCCTCCACTTATATCTACATCTTGTTGGACCTCATACCTTGTATATATTAGAATTTAAAAACGATTGTCAATTGTTCACTTTTTTTTTGAGCATCTGACAATCGAAGACTTTGTATAAAACTGGCTGTTAATTTGATAAAGTTTGATAAATCAATTGATATAAAGCTGAAAGTCTGCACTTCAATCACATTAATTGAATGTTTGGTTAAAATTCACTGTAATGGTATACAGAGGTGAAACTACAAAAAAAAGTGTCCAAAAACATATCGATCTACATATATACTTTAACATGATGATTAAATTCCTTTTACGCACAAACTCAAATGAATAAATAAACATTCATAAAATAAACACGGAACATACAGAATACAGTAACTCTTGCCCAGCAAAGGACAAAAATCTTACACTAGCTGAACAAAAACCATGCCTCCTATAGTGCTAGTATCATTTAAAGCAAATGTAGATGTTTTGCAAGGGTGTAGAAAGCAGCTCAGCAAGTCGTGACTTTTGTGAAAAGAACTGATAGATATATCGGTTTAATGACGCATCTCCAAACTTTGCAAAATGTATACGGTTGGAAGCAAAACAGGAAGAGGCAATCAATGTATTTTTATTGCAATAAACTGACAATAGCTAAGTGTCTCTTCAATGGTCACAATGGTAACTATTCGATAGAATAACATAAGGAAAAATAAATTAACCATGGTGATATAAAAATACATCAGTGAAAATAAAGCATCACTGGTTCAACTGAACACATCAACACACACTGTTTTACACCTAAATCCGGAGCCAGCACACAGCCAGAACATGCAGCCCTCAAAACACAGCTACAAGACTGTCAGAATGTGTGGAGAAATCTTGGGAGGTATGGGTGGTATTATTACCACAGAAACACTAGAGACTGACTGTACAGCGCTATTGATGGTAGTGAGCAACGTGACATGAAAAACCACAACCGCATCCTCCATTTCCTGGCTAAAGTCTAGAAAGATACAATTAATGTTGCATGAATTAAGTCTCAGATTGTGGGATTTACACAATAAAGCCGAAGCAGCTGTTCTGTGGGCACCGTTTACCCATCCAGCATCCCTGGAAATGTCTGAAATTCATAAAAGGCAATCACTCAACCAACAAATGAGTTCATGTAGACTTTTTGTTTTTTCCTTCTTAGCTTTCGATTTAGCGCTGACGATAGCACAAGCCCATAAGAAGTGGAAACCATTTTTGTCAAACCACACCAGTTATTTATGTCACTGACTTCCTTCCTGTTGTGAGGGTTTTTTTTAAAATCTTGTCAAGAGATGTAGTCGTAAACAAACACAAAAATAATAAGGCAATATTTTGACCACCGAGGTCGTCGTTAGGCAAGCTCATGTGAGAGAACACTTAGAAAATTAGGACCATTGAGAAACCATAATGCAAAAAAAGGGGAAGTCATTCGCTATGTATACAAAACAGGCCAGTTTTATGCATGTAGAATTTGCTTAGTTTCAAAAATCAAAATGTTGCCTCGTTATATTGCTGGCCTTTGAGCTGGTACTACTTGTCTCGTTTCCACTGTGTGGCACTTTTTTCTCCCCCGAGCACCTTGCACCTGACCCGGGATAGGATATGATCCGCAAAAATGTGTTTATCCAATCATGTTGGCATATGCATAATAACGGATGGACGGCTAGTTGATGCTCCAGGTTCTGTTATGACACTGATCAGGTTAGTTGTAGCTGTATTTGCTGCACATGCATCACATTTCTAACTCCCAGACTCACTCAGATTAAAATGGTATTGTCTACTTGAAAAGGATCGTTTGGAGAAAATTTAAAAAAAAAAAACTAGGAAGCTGTGCAGCTCGTGTCACAGTATAGGAAACATACTTGTAGCTTCTTTTTTGTTGTTTTTTTTGACATAAATATGTTTAATGAAATGCTGCATAAAAGCAAAGCATTAAAAAGACGAATAGGAGCAATAAATATCAAACACAGTCTCCACAACACCCATTCTTGAAATGATCTATTTCACAGGCTCAAAGGGCATGTAGAATTGGCAGTCAAATATCGTAAATGATGACTGGGGCCGGGGCTTCGTATTCACTCTTGGCTCAGGAAGTTTGGGGTGGGGTCGGGGCGGGGACGGGGGAGGGGCTGGGCTGGGCTCTGTCACACGAACACAATTCACAGAGAGTTCGAAGTTTACAAAACATCAAATTTCCTCCTGCAATATTGTCATGCAATATATACGTTGACACGACTGAGACGACAATAATGTCACGTTTCTCAAGAGTTTTCATGTCCAGTCTGGCAGTGAATGGGGGTTAGGCCCACATTGGATAGAGGATTTCACACCTCCCCTGGCACTCCAGAGAAGGCAACAGAGGTTTTCAATCCTTCTCCCTTGCGTCAGGGGAGCTGAAGCGGATGCCTTCAGCCAGAATCCTTGATTAGAAGACATGTTAAACAGTTCCACTGTCTTTGACCAAACATCCTACCTAAGGTGTTACATCACACTTCACTAAATAAATGCGACTCGAGCAAAAAATAAGAAAAAAAATTGAATAAGCATTTACGTGAATCTATTTTTGTGACTTGCCTGGTCAACTATTGTATATTTAAAGCCACAGTAAATTTCATTATAGTTATAGATATACAGTGTTTTGACACTGACCGAACTTGACAACCTGGTATGAAATGCTACAGACTGCAATGCGCAGGACAAATCTAGCATTTCTACTTCTACCACATTGTCAACACACAGGCTATTGACATATGTGCTTGGTGCAGTTGCCTGGCAACACAAGCAAAAGCAGTTTTTTTTCTTTTTTGAAATTCAAAGCAAAAAAGAAAATCTTACAAAGCTATGCAAAACAGTAAAAAACAATAAATAGAAAAAAAACAACAACCTTAGAATAATCACAAAAGTCAAACATTTGTCATCATAAACTGGTCTTCTGATGTGCAGATAATGTGTTTAGTGGTTTATGATACATCTACACATTTTTAATCTTTAGTGTGGCGCTATACAAATCCCTTAAAAAAAATATGCATCTGATATCTTTTAAAGATGTAGGACCAAGTGGTCGTACGGGGGAATCCAAAGAAATGTGCAAGAATTCAATTTCAATCAAGAATGTGGAAATTCAACCAGGACAACTCAACTGATTCAACATAAGTACATTTTTTTCTTTTGTTTTTGCCAACAAGTCCCATAAATCCACAGCAGGAGGTAAGAAGACGTATTTACAATCTGCCTTTGAAACCCCCCCCCCCCCCCCTCCCCCCCGCTTTAAAATTTCAAAGAGCAGCTGTTGAGGAAATAAGGAGGACTTGGCACTGAAAAAAAAATCACTTGTGTTAAAGTACATATATCCTCAGCAGGAGGGAGCTGTTCATTTAGTTTCCATAATTTCCCCATCTCCCACTCTTTCGCTTGCAGTTTCTTTTCTGGGAGAAGAAGAGTGGGACAGTCTCCCACTAAGGCCAGAGTGTCTGGCAGTGTTTAAGTGGCACACCAGGACCTGTTTCTGTCTGCCAAGCTAAACTCATTGTGAAGGCAGGTGGGCCAACACACATACACACATCCTCACTTAGGACACAGACTTGTGTGTCCTAGCCTTTGTCTCTATGCAGCCTGGCAACCAAGTCGGCAGCTACGAAGTCAGTGGGCGCAGAACATCACTATGGCAACCAGCATAGTGGGCAAGGCTGTAGCTGCTCCTGGATCAGTGCTGAGACTTTTTTTTTGGCATACTCTTAATGCCAGAGTTGATTATAGAGTTCCTTCTCTTAAATGTTCTTCCTAGATTGGCCCGTGATCTCATGTGCACAGTTTTTTTCCCCTCCCCGCACTATTTCAAAAAATAGACGAATATTCAGAGTAATAAAGATGCAACTAAGAAATAAAGATTCACAAAAAAAAGACAAAACAAAAAGAAAATGAGAGAACCTCATGATATTTCCTTTCCCACACTTTGCACGTGCACAGTTAATTGTGCTTACACACTAGACACAACCTCATCCACACACACACACACGCACACACACTTTTTTAAACATAAAACAGACAGCCACCAGGGTGTGAATTTTCAAACTGATCAACTGATTGACTAATTCAACACAGCAGTGAACGACAGTAAGGTCTGAAGGTGGAGTCCAGATCTGCTCCCTGGCATAGTGTAGGCTAAATCCACGATTTAAGCGAGGCAGTCGGGCAGGACCCTTGCTTAGTCGACCGAGCCGGGGTGCAGGCTGAGAGCTGGCGGATCCAGGCAGGTGGGAGAGTAACTGAGGTGAGGTTCTTTAATCCACAGTAAGGGAGCACCGTTCTTGCCTTCTTGGCTCTTGCTGTTGTTGCGGCTCTTGTAGCGGACTAGCAGCAGGGCGATGAGGAGGATGCCAAAAATGGGGAAGGGATAAAAAAAGACAAAGTAGAAGAGGGAGCTATTGGAGCACACCACTGACTGGACGGTGGACACTGTTGGCAGAAAATAAACACATGAGAGGTGTTATACTCTCAAAAGTTTCTCATTCATGCGTCAAAATATCACCATTTGCTGATATATATACATACATACTATATTTCTTACTTCCACCTGAGAAGCTGCTGTATCAGCATATGTAAGCTGCTATGATGTCGCATGAATGAATATGTGGTTATGTGAGAATAAGTGGGGGGGAAAAGAAATTGAAAACTACACCTCTCAGAATTTGTGCAAAACAATAATTAACAGAATTTCCAGCTTTTAAAAATAGTTTTACCAAGTTTTGGCAAAAACAGAAGGAACTTAGAGGTTTCTTAGATAAGCTCAGTGCCTTTTTGATCAGCTAGTCTATATCTGGAAGTAAGGAAAATGATGTGGCCCTCTGTAATGGAGAAAAACAAAATGACCTTAATGACTGTAAATAGAGAACATTCAGAGTTTTTCTCTTTTTTGTCTGTAGTCATAAACTTTTAGAAGTTCACCTGGCGTCACTGCAGCACATTTGAATAGGCTAGAATTTACTGAATAAAAGATGTATATAACCAGATTGTATTAGTTAGAAATGAGATTACACAAGCATTTTTACACAATAAAACCAGGGGACCCAGCAAACACATAAACATAGCTGAGTACTGATAAGTACAGAGTGCAGGTCTCTTACAGCTTGCACTTTTTGCACTTCTAAATCATCTTCTCTCATTTATTGAGCCTTGTAATTTGATTTATTTTACTGCTTTAAATACCAGCACAGTTTTTGACACTGTAAATGACTCAGCTTCAGTGCTAAACAGTAAGCGGCCATGTCTGGCTCTCATTTTTACTTGTTAATTGCAAATGAGGAAGCCAGATCCCACAAGATAGAAATTAAGAAAAAAAAGTAACTAAGAGCTGCATAACTTGTTTATTATTAGTTTCCATTTGCCTGCACCAAAACACATATTAGGAGATATTAGGACTGCACAGTGTGACAATACATACGAAAAACCTAGATTTCCAAATAAGCAATAGCTAATTGGTAATAAATTACCAGTATGCTGTTAGATAAAAGTATAGCTTTGTGCAAACTTCAGTGTCACGACAGATCAAAAGATTCTGTCTTTTACGAGCTTACCTTGTTGTAATACATTGACAATAGTGTACCCAGAATTGTTGGTGGCCAGGCGGTACCATACGTTGCGGGGGTTGAGCAGCCACTCTTCGACGTGGCAGTAGTATCGGCCCCCGTCTGTTGGCCGGGCCCCTTGAATGGTCAGGCTGTACTGATCAGAGGCCATCCTCTCAAACTGCAAGCGAGAATTTGGCCCGGGTTCCTCTATGGGGCTGCAGTTTCCATTTCCAAAAACGGCATCATGTCCAATGGAGAACACGCACTCCCGGTCTCCTTCTTCTTCCCCTGGCTGATCCTCATTGTTGTCGTTTTTAGGGCGCTCTACATACCAGGACACGGAGAAGCGGGAGTTTCGGGATGACTGTGAGGGAATGCTGCAGCCTAGTCGGATTGGACCGGACTCTTCCACAGTCATGTTTGACTCCAGTTCTTCAACCTGCAAGCGAACCTCTGCAGGGGTCCGGAAAATAAACAGAAATTGAAGACCCTGAAGCTCTCCAAGAAATTTCTAATAATTTCAGCTTAGTTCAAGTTCAAATACAAAACAAGCAAATCAGTTAATTAACTGATTAGGTTACCATGCTGCTATTCTGAAGATCTTCAGAATAGCAGCATATTAATATTATCTTTCCCCATACAAAAAACGCTTCTGTGATGATGATTTTCTTTTTTCTTTGCTGTCAGTTTTGCATTCGGTAGCTGTATTTCAGTGTTTTACTGATAAAATCATGAAGAGATGTTCTTTTTAAATGAATCAAAATAAATGCCAGTCATTGCTCTAATTTGAACAAGTCCAAAGAAATTAATACTACAAAACAGCAAATGATTCTGAAAATGGGACACTAAACTTCCCAAATGCACAAACAAAAAGGAAAAAATAAATAAATCTCAGAGCGCTGCCCAGAGCTATCACTAGTCTTTCAGCTTCCCAGCAGGGTTGGATCCTACCCCAAGGCTACTGTGTCTGGTGTGCGGTTATACTACAGTCCTTCAGGGGTGGTACTATGACCCAGTTCCACTGCAGTTTTAAAAAAAATGACAGTACAGACTTGGCATGCCTGGACTCATCTCACACACAGTTTTGGAACGGTCTCCTTGTTAAAGCATAATGAGAAGCAGAAAGCACAGCAGGAAAGCAGGGGAAAAAAGGAGAGTTCTGGCACACGTCTCCCCTCATCTTTTTTCTTGACAGGCAGATTTCTGGATGACTTTCTGGGTGAATGTTTTAACACCTTAATGAACATCTACGAAGTTTATACCGCATTTTATATTTAGCTCATGAAGATGTTTACATGTCCATAAAAGTTGAAATCTATAGGGTCATGAATAATAAAAGTTACAGTCCATGTTACACGAGGGGTTTCCACATATATTGTGTTAACTCTCTGAAGCATGAAAGGGATGAGTTAGTCTCCCCAAAACAAGCCTTGTATACGATGCGCATATTTCAAAATATTTTCATTTGCGTGAGTAGCTGAGTGCTTCAGCTATGCACTGGTAGACCAGATTCAACTTAAAAGCATACTCTACGGGCTAATCACGAGGTGTTTTCATCCTCTAGTTGGACAGATGCCTGATCAATGTTATAAATTCTGCATTGTAAACAGCACACCTGGCAGATGAATACTGCTCCCCAAGTGCCTGAAAAGTCACCTTCAGCAGGACTGTTCAGTTATTATTGGCGTTTATGGGGTGAGACAAAGAATCTCTTTGTATATGAAGAGTAGGAGGGTTTAGGTAAATGAGAAAAGGGAAAATTCAGTTAGGGAGAGGAAAAAGATACAAGTTGGAGTGCTCATAAAATAACTGTAATGAGGTGGGATGTCAGAGTGTGGGTGGCAGTTGGAACATCATAGCTTTAAGCTCAAGTTTTTGAATTCTGGACAAGAGGATTAGGGTTTTCCATCAGCTGGCATGACTTCAATCCATCTTTTTCCACCTGAGCTCTGGCTGGGGCAGGTGTAAGGTCATTGGAGTGAGACATAGCATGTCATAGAGGGAGGAAAGCAAGTTGGAGGAAGGATTGAGTTAACAATGGTTAAGTGGTTTAAAGGATCACAAAATGTAGGGCTTAAGTGGCAGCTGCTACCTCGCTGCAGTGGGAATAAACATGGATTTGGTTAAAGGGAAAAGTACTGCTTGCTCACCTGGTTTTCTGACCAGAACCTGCGTGAACTCTGAGGAATCCCGGGAGAGTCGATACCAGACTCCATCTGGGTCACTCAGCCACTCCTCCACCAAGCAGTAGTACGTGCCAGAATCGCTGCTTTCAGCCCTGTTCAGCGTCAGCACATACAGACGGGGTGACAACCTCTCAGCCTGCACACGCCGTCTCAGTCTCTCCTCATCTGCGTAGGCGCCATATTCGAAGGCCCCGGAGCGTTCGATCCTCAGCAGGAGCTCGTCAGCCTCCGACCCAGTCGCTCGTCTCACGTACCACATCACGGTATGCTGGGAGTCCTGGTTGGTCTGGGAGGTGATGGAGCAATTGATCCTGACACGGCTGTCTTCCAGGTACACCTGAGACTGGTTGTTCTTTTGCACTCTCAGCTTACTCTCTGCAAGGAATAAAGGGAGATGGGGGAAAAGGGAGAAAAGGAAAAGGAGCAGACAGCCATTTCTATGGGTATAGGAAAATGTGAGCGCTGGTGACAGGTACACAATGCAATTTCTGTTTTGTGACAGACGACATGTTGCTAGGTTTATTTCTGGTGGCACCAGGGCAGGAAAAGATAGTGATGTGTGGGTGGGTGCAGCGGTTGATCAAGAAAGAGAGAAAGAAGGGAACAGGAAGGAGAGGGAAATGTCAAGAAAACCAAAGCTGCAAGGATGGGAGGTCTGCTGGTATCAAAGTAAAAATGTATGATAAGATGCAGAACAGGAGAAGAGACAAGGGTGAATGGTAGTGGGGTGGATTGCAAAGTAGGGCTACGTTATTAAGTAAGATATAACACAAAAGCAGTTTGGGGGGGG